ATCAGAATCCTGCACCTGCCTTTCCTGCTGTCTTTCCTAGTTATAAAATGAACTCAAGACAATTTTGAGGGTTGTATTATTGTTTGAAAAGTTCTCATTATGACAATGAAAACAATAATCAACAAAATTTTGATTATCTCTGCAAATTATACACAGTTCTCCATGTTAAAAAAAACTGAGAGCAAGAATAGCCTTTTTGAAAATACATAGCTTATGATTTCATACCTGAAAATTGTATGCTTTTTTGTAACTGCAGATTATTGGAGTCTCTTGCAGAGATATCAGAAACATTTTTCTCCCACTCATTCAAATAAGATATTTTCATTTTGTCAGCTAGAAAACTATTGCATCAGCCTTTATCATATTTTTGAGTAGATTGTTCATTGAAAAAATATATATAAATAACTGGAAATATGTGAAACTATACCCTTACATATGCAGAGTATCATTTACATGTTGGCAAGAAGTTATGTGAGTTTTTAAAAACTTCCATTAAGTTTTTCTCTGAAATAAATATTTTGATGATAATCACAATAAATATTTCCAACAATACAAACAGTCCAGGGAGCCCATTCTTCTACAAGCCTCAGGAGTGCAAACTGATCAACATTTAACATACAAATGTCATGGCATCAGTCGGTATAATGTTAGTGACAACTCTCATTTGCCTAGCCTAATCCAGAAGCCAGTTAAGACTGTAGCCTAGGTGGACAAATGAGTTATCTTTCTTGGCAAACTTTATTTAATCCTTGCCTTTACGATCAAAGCATAAGCACATACTCCATAAGCAATTACAACTTGGCAACATTTTAAGGCTAATACTTGGCCGCCTTAGAAATAAAAATAAGAGTATCTTTGTATTCTCTTAGATAATAAATGCCACAATAAAACCAAAGATTCATGTTGGTCCCTAGGAGACTAACATTAATTCTTAACATAGGAATTTATGAAGATTTTTGTAGTATTTCTAATAGTTGTTTGTGGCATGTATTTATTACTTATTTAATATTGAACATACACCCCACTTATTTATTCCAAAACTCAGGGCAATTTACAATAAAAAGTACAAAATATAAAATGCATACAGTATGTATATAATCAAAATCAAGATTAAAACCATTCATTATAATAATTAACAATTTAAACATTAGCAAAATAATTGTGTTTTTATTATCTTCCTAAATCCTGGGAGAGTGGGAAGGGTGGAAAGCACAGCCCTTTCCCTTGTACCAATTGCTGAGTTTCCAGCAGCAGAAACATCTTCAGAAGGGCCTCTGTCACATGTTCACCTAGTTAAGAGCTTTAAAGGGGTGGGTCGGTGGGTACAAGAACATGTGCATGGCTTTGATGTTGACTCCTGGTGACTGCCTGAACTAGTCCCTGCAGTTTTCTTGGCAAGATTTTCAGAAGTGGTTTGCCATGGCCTGCTTCCTTGGGCTGAGAGAGTGACTGGCCCAAAGTCATCCAGCTGGTTTTATGCCCAAGGTGAGACTAGGACTCATGGAGTCCTGGTTTCTAGTCTGGTGCCTTAATCACTACACTACACTTTAAAATAATATGCCCACTCATCTTATATAATGTCCTTCAATAAAAATTCCAGTAGCTTTCTCCTTTTTTGTTCTGGGAAACTCCTGTCTCATTAAACCAAATAAACCCTGAAATTGGGGGGGGGGGGGGGGGGGG